ATTTTCTACCGTATTTATCATATGTTAGATTAGTTAAGACAGATAATGGTAGCTGCCATAACAAATAGACCTAAGTATCTCTAACATCATTGCACCTTTTCCTCTATATCTTTTTTCTTTTTTCAACTTTTAAGTTCAGGGGTACATGTGCAGGATGTGCAGGTTTTTGCATAGGTAAACGTGTGCCATGGTGGTTTGCTGCATGGATCATCCCATCACCTGTCATATATCTTTATTAAGCATTTTCATGGAAGAATGAAACCTGTGTTCCAGGTCTGAAGGCGATGGGACCAGGGAAAATGAGAAGTGACCATGTAAGTATGAGGATCCTTCTGTTCTCCCTAGCCGAGAGAGATGGCATGGTCAATGTCAGAGTTCAAGTGTGATGCAAAAGGTGCATTGTGGTAGGCTGACCAGATGTGAGGTAAGACAGTTTTAAAAGACAGGAATGGCCAGGCGCGGTGACCCAAGCCTGTAATCCCAGCACTTTGGGAGGCCGAGGCGGGTGGATCACGAGGTCAACAGATCAAGACCATCCTGGTCAACATGGTGAAACCCCGTCTCTACTAAAAATTACAAAAAATTAGCTGGGCACGGTGGCGCGTGCCTGTAATCCCAGCTACTCAGGAGGCTGAGGCAGGAGAATTGCCTGAACCCAGGGGGGCGGAGGTTGCGGTGAGCCGAGATCGCGCCATTGCACTCCAGCCTGGGTAACAAGAGCGAAACTCCATCTCAAAAAAAAAAAGAAAGGAACAAGATGTAGCCCAGGCTAGGAAAAGAGCAGGAATGAAGGTTAACATAGCAATAAAGTTCAAACTTCTCTGTTCATGGCATGTTCCTACTTACAAAGCACATTCATATATATTATCTTGTTTTAGACTCACAAACAACCAGGTGAGGTGGCTCGGGGTGTATTAGTACCCTAATTTCAAACATTCATGAAATCTCAGGAAAGTCTGCGAGGCCAAGTGATTTACCTTGGTGAGTAGAGAGCCAGGGTGTAGGCTTTGATGTTGTGCCTCCAAGAACAGAACTCTTTCTCTAACATGTGATTCTCTTGGAGGTTTGGGGGCCGCTGAGGCAGAGGGGCTGCCAAGGTGGGCAGAGCCTACTTCTCTTCCCTTCCCCGACGACCTATGGCCTCATCCTCGTGATGCCAGCCATGTTCCCATGGAAATCACTTACCAATGGCAACCTATTCAGAAATGCAGCAATGAATCACTGCCACCTGGTTAGGTCTCCTGCTTTTGTGAAACCTGTACTCTGTCCTTTTCAGGGGTCACAGTTTAACAGATAAGCCTTTTTATTTTAACAATTCTCTAATCAGGCTTTCATTTATTTGGCCACCCCCTCCGTTTTCTCTGTCTCCCTCTCATCCACCTACTCCTGCTCCTCCCACTGTGTGCAGCTGAGTTTGGCCAGTGCCAAATCATGTTTTATTCTCAGCCTGAGAAAGAAGTTATACAAGGTGTCAAAACTGGCCAGCAAAGAACCCATCCCACCAGTGCTGTTTGATGTTTCAAGGTTACACATACACTGCTCCCTCCTAGAGAGAAGAATTTTTGGGTAGACTGGGAAGTACTTTACCACAAGAGCAGTGCACTGACATTGATAAGAAAGCAGTCAGAATGTGCTTGAAATTTTGCAGAAAGATCAGTAGAAGACCAGTGTTCGGCTGCAAACCAACAGCTCAGCTCTTTCTAGCATCCTTAGCAACAGCCTGCTGTTTTCCCAGGTGGCTCTGAACCAGACAGGAAAATGCAGTGGGCCATTTGTCACTGCTCCAGGTGTAACATATGCATGCCAATTGGTGCATGCAGCTTGTAAGGCCAGCTCCTGCCTGCCCCATGCCTGCATCTAGGCCTCTGGGCTTCCCTTTCATTGAGATCAGGACAGAGTGTGCTTCCTTTCCTCCTCCTCCACCTAAGTAAGTGATTAGATCAACTCTTCTGGCATTAGAACCAACGCAGCTATCCCCACCATGATCAAGAGTGCTATGCTCTGTGTAATCCCTCTTACCCCATTTTTAATTCAAGGCCACAGTCTTTCAGGGCTGTTGGGACTCATCAATACTAGCATGTCAGCCTTAGAATCTTAAGGTTATTCTGGTGTGTGGTATACAGAAGACATGCTGGTGTGTTCTTCAGGGAATGCCGGACTGGACTATCATTTTAGTTAGTCTAAATTGAGCTACGGCTAGAGGATCTTGGATTCAGGGTTCTGCAGATATGGCACAAGAGAAAGAGCCAGGGCTTGCTTGTAGGAGAACGCAAGGTGAGGTTCCTTTTGTTCTTTTATCCTAAACTCAGTGCCCTGCACCCACTACAAATGGAATGAACTGATCAGGTGGCAGATAATATCCCTTTTACCTGTGAAAGGAGAAATGAAATCATCCAGAAGTGAAATTACATATATAAAAATGAATTTAATGGAAGCTCTGCTTCTAGAATTTTTAAGGACATTTTATTGTGGATTTAGGTCACACATTTAGAACTACTTCCTTTGACGAGGACTTAATCTAGGTTACAAGTGTGTGAACTTGGGGCTATGATGTGCCTGAGTGACAGGCAATTCACAGAGGGTAGCCTAACTACTGGCAGCCCGGGGTCCCATTATTTACTCTGTGAACCCCTCCTCACCTCTTTCCAGTTCCATCAAGTATAGAGAGGGAGTGTTTGGCCCTCTGAGCTGGAGTTATGCAAAACCCGAAAATAGACTCTCAGAGTGCATCTAGACATAATGATTCCATGCGGCAAGAAGGTCACTGTGTCTGCTTTTCCTGCCAACACACCCCTGGCTCTTAATCTATGGCTGCCTTGTGAAGCAAGAGAGCTGTGCCAGGAAGTTACACTTTGTGACTGTGAGGCATTATGAGAATTTAAAATCATGTCAATGGAGTTTTGTAAGGGCAGGCCAGGAAAGAGGAGTTATGCGCAGTTTTTGAAGAGGACAGTCTTTTAATGTCTCTTTGTTTTTTGATCTGAAAGCTACCATAACTCAATTTTTAAAAACAAAACAAAACAACTATCTGGTTCCAGCCACAAATCAACTCCACCCTGCCAACCCTTTCAAAAAAATAATAAGATACCTACCCAAAAAATTTTCTGGGGTTATCCGAATGGTGGGATTATGAGTGAGCTTTATTTTCTTCTTAGTGTTCTGTAGTTTTTATAACATACCATATACTAATTGCTTTACAGTTTCAAAAAAAAAAAAGCAAAGAATTCTATTTGGAAAGCAAAACTGTACCCTATACCAACTGGCTGATTGTGCTGAATATTCAGTATTGCTGGTCATGAAAATGGTGTGAGTGACGCAGCCCCTGCCTGTGCCCCCATGTCAGGTCTCAGACAAGAACTGGAGTCTACAGGCATCTCACCACTGTGGGTTCATGAGGGCTGCTGGGCAAGGGCAGACACAGACCCTGAGAGGACTCCAGGCAGTCAATGAGGGTGGGAAAGGGAGGCTGCTGGTGCAAGGCCAGCCAGACACCTCGGCAGCAAGGAAGGGATGATGGTCACATCCAGTTGTTTTGGACAGTCAAGCCTGCTTGACATGTACTTGTCAGGAGGGAAACTGTCAGCTCAAGTTCATCAGGAAATAATGCATTCTTGCCCTGAGAATATCCAGTTGCACATTATTCTGGCAATTGGGAAGATCCTGTTTTCCAGAACCATGGGGACCAAGGAAAATGTAACAAGTAAAGACAAATATCTGGGAGAAAACAACCCCTTTCAGAATGCCAGAAATCCTCTTGGGGTTTGAGGTTCTGCAAACGACAAGATATTTCATTTATTTAAGCTTGGGCCTTGACCACCCAAATGGGTTATTGATGTGAGCTCAGTCCATCAACTAATCCTGTTGCTGTCTACTGAGCCCAGGCCATGTCGGGCTTGGGAGCCCGAGGTAAGCAGGCTAGTCAAGAAACTGTGTCATCTCACCTTTGGACAGAATTCTTCCTGCAAGTTTCTGTAAAAACCTCTATTTCTTATGTGTCAAATGCTGACCTATTATTGAATCCAGTGGGGTTCCTCAATCCATAGGTCTGAGTGCTTTGAACTTGAGGTCATGACCCAAGCCTGCGCCACGCAGATCGGGAGCAGAATTCCTTGCAGTTTATATAATAAACCATGTGCCTAGGAGGTAAGGCCCTTAATAGTAATGGATTATGTTTAATTGGTGATAGAGATCTCATTCATTACTTTCTTACCTTCTCCTATGTGTTTCCCTATGATGATCCATATGAGCCTGCATTTTAGGTAATACACAACTAAGACCTCGTGCTAACGTATTTATCATCATGTCCATTAGAAAATAAAAGCTCATTAAACTCATTATTTCATGAATAACTTTAAGACAAAGCTAAAATAGGTTCAGTTTTTAAAGGAAGTTAATTTTAAGATATATAATACCGAAAATTGCATCATGCAACAGAAAGGTGGTACAGTCATTGCACTCAATGTTTGGCAAATATTGTCCTAGAACATACTATTAACACTTGGCCAAATTCATTTTTATTTTCCTTCCTTCTTTCTCTCACTCTCTTTTTAATTTTAGTATCTCTGAATGAAGCTGTATGGAGAATAAATTGCTTACCAGAAAAAAATGTTGTAAATGTTTTTCATAATGATTCTAGAGAATGTCAACAAAGACTTATTGCTTCTCTGGCACAGAGCAGAGAACTGCTTATCTTCTCTTCAGATCTGGGCCTCAGAGTCATCATTCTGCCCCTCGTGGAAAGCAGGGCTTCTAAATGTTTATATACACCAACATGCTTGCTGTCTTGTTCATACCGTATCTGCTGTTTCTTGTGGGCTCTGTGTGTGTGTGTGTGTGTGTGTGTGCGCGCACTTGTATTAAATAGTAATGAGATAATGTGCCATATCTAGGCTACTCCTGTTATTTATACTAAATAACGACATGATGATGTTGGTGCCCCATAATTCTCCATTTTCTATTAACCACCCTGCCCAAGTAAACTGTTTTCTGATCTCTCTTAGATGGAAACCCTGTATGAATGTGGAAGCCATTAGCAGAGTAATTGCTGTCTGTTACCATGACAACCAGCCGCTGCAGTCACCTGCCCGAAGTCCTGCCAGACTGCACCAGCTCAGCTGCGCCCGTGGTGAAGACGGTGGAGGATTGTGGCAGCCTAGTGAATGGGCAGCCGCAGTATGTCATGCAAGTTTCAGCCAAAGACGGGCAGCTGCTGTCAACAGTAGTGCGGACTCTTGCCACCCAGAGGTAGTACCACAGTTAAAATAAATGAATCTGTAATTGATCCAGAGAACTCTTTGTCAGATGGAAAATGCTAACGGGAATGTAATTAGTGCTCAGGTCTTTGTGTCAGGTGAGAGGAGGTGCTGGAAAAAAAGACTACATGAGTTCTGTCATTGCCGTTTCTATAGCAATAGGATATAAAGCTAAAATTCACCTTATCGAATTTTCCCCTTAAAGTCATACTTACAAAGAGCCAGGAGGGGAAGAAGCCCACAAGATACTGGGTTGCTTGCTTTACATTTGTTATTTTGACATTGTTATGTAATTGCTCTCTTGTTGTCTCCAGTAGATAACAAAGGTAGTCCTATTGGAACTGATTTCAGGCAACTGAGTCGAAGTGACTGGATGTGTGGGCAAAAGTTTTGAAGTGACATTTTTGGTGTGCATGTGGACTGGCATTGCCTAATGGAAGCGCTGTCCAGGGCTACTTCCTGAGCATGTCTCTTCTCATCACTAGGAGGTCTCTTCTGCTGTCCCCTCCTTCAGCCTCAATGGTCCCCCATCCCTGATGCTTCACACACATCTGCCCTATGAAGTGCTATTGTGAAAACTTCCTGAGCCTTCCCAAGTAATGAACTAAAACCAGAGTGCAGGCTCTGAGCAGCTTGGAAACCGCTTTTCCTGACCATCACTTTGTCTCCTCCTGTGCTCTTGTTGGATAGGAACTTATGGGCTTCCAGGCTAATAGGAGCTCCTTGGCTTCTCCAGCTTTTTCTCAGAATGGGTAAGCGGGACTTCTAACCTATGCACATAAAAGGTGAATCACCATTGGACATGACCCCCTAGTGTCAGTGCTGACACTTCTGACCTCTAACATAGGACCAGTCTTTCACACCTTGTTCTTTTACCTCTGTCTGAGTGATCAGTCAACCCCTCTGGTGCAGACACAGGCCCACAGATCCGTGTGCCTACAGCAGGACTACCAGTGGCATCCCACCCTCGGCATGGTGGCCCTCAGACATGGAATCACACTAACATGCATGTTGTGAGCATTGCCCATATGCCCTCCATTTAAAATCTGTGCGGCTAGTGCAAAGAAAAACATAGAAAAACATTTAATATATAATTTTCTCCCTCTTGAGGAACTGATAACAATTGGTTAGGACTCAGAGCAGGACAAAGCAGTGACTGTCTTTGGTCCTCTGTGAACTGAGACTGAGGGCCTAATGCGCTCCACTCACCCTTTGCAGGCATCAAACAGCTCATTTGACCAGGAAGAGCAGGCTATGGTTGACATGGCTGAGACCTGTGAGCCTCCGTGTGGGTGTGGGTATGTGGTTGTGTCTGTCTGTCTGTCAGGCATTTTTACCTGCTCTCCCACCATGCGGTACTGTAAACCAGGTTTCAGGATTTTACAGGCTCCATGTAAATGAAGGAGGCCCAGAATGATGAGAAAAACAACAACAACAACAAAAAACTCTATCCACTTTCTTTTCCCATCCCTGGGCACAAGTAAGCCTTTCAGGCTAATGGAAGGGAGATCCTTTCCCTTTTTGATCTCCTTTTGGCCTTCCCTCATTCCCAGCATCATTCTCAGAAAGGCCTTTGGGAAACAGCAGTTATTCCATGGCTGTTTCCATTTGGACCAAAGACGGTGTTCAGGAGGATGAATGGGCATGTGTCTGGGTCACTGTCTTCTTTGGGGGGTATACAGAGAGGCAAGGAGGGGCAGGTAAAGAGGCTGGTCCTAGGATTTTCACATATTAGGAAGATGCATTTTAAAATCTATTGCCCAGTGAAAAACAGCACAAGCAACAGAAGACATCCATCAGAGAGGCAGGGTCCTCTCCCAGAGCAAAGTACCTCCCGAGAAGTGAGGCCATCTTAGTTTGGGATCTTTCCATTGGACACTGACTTACATGATGAGGGCCAAGTTATTTGATTTTCTCTGGCCTGAGATTTTTCCATAAGAGACAGTAGCTAGCATTAACTGGGTATTTGCTATGTGTTTGTCCCTATTCTAAGTTTCTAATCTGGGCTATCTTTTCACTTCCTCACTGTCACCATTCTTTGTGCCCGTTTTAGAGTTAAGGAGACTAAAGTACAGGGAGATGAAGTTACTTGCCCAAAGTTATCCAGGTGATAGACAGCAGACCTGAGGTTTGAGCCCAGCTAGCTGGATTCTGGAGCCTGCACCATGAACCACTAACTACATTAAGCTGCCTTCATGAAATGTGTAGGAGTGGTTTTTCCAAATTAAAGGCAGATCTCTAGACTGAGGCTACCTCAGCAGGACATACTCATTACTCACTTTCAGCTTGGTGTCTTTGGCATCCCATAGAGCATCCTGTGAAAGCTCAAAGGACAATCCACCATCCAGCTTTGTTCTGTGGCTCAGACTGCAGTTCTGTGTAGCGGCTGCAGAGTTTGCTGCTGGTTAACTTCCCTCCTGTCATTCTCCACCCTACTGAAAAGAGAAATGAAAGGAACCTCTGGGTATACAAACATGTCCTGGCTTGGTCCAAAAGATTCAGTTTGTCATTTCAAAACAGTAACTATTCTTAATGGTGAAGGATGGTTTTTATTTTGGACGAGTAGTTGGCCTGAACTACATTTATATTCAAGGCAAAAATATCCATTGCTTGTTTTCACTCACTTTTGATCCTGGGCCACACCTAGCTACTTTAATATTGGCAATCCCCTATTTCTTGGTGTCATCACAAGTTGATGACCCAAGTGCTCTGCAGTGCCCAGGACCACTTGCCCTACTGCCGAGGTCAAGTGTACATCTAAGAGGTCTTAAAGCAGCTGCCCCTGGGGAGGGCCCAAAGGACAAGAGCTAGAGGGCCATCTACTTGGTAGAGGTTTCCAGCCCAGTGACCAGCAGGTACCCCTCCTTCTCTTGCAGCCCCTTCAATGACCGGCCGATGTGCAGGATCTGCCATGAGGGCAGCAGCCAAGAGGACTTGCTCTCTCCATGTGAATGTACAGGGACCTTGGGGACAATTCATCGGAGCTGCCTGGAGCATTGGCTGTCATCCTCAAACACCAGCTACTGTGAACTCTGCCACTTCAGGTTTGCAGTCGAGCGCAAACCCAGGCCGTTAGTGGAGGTCAGTAAGTGGGGCACGTCCTGAAAACTTAGCTCTAATGAGCAAATGATGTCTGTTTTTATGCCTGGATCACAGCCCTGTACAGCTTTACTGAAGCACAGTAATAGCTCTGTGAGTGTGTGTGTGTGTGTGTGTGTGTGTGTGTGTGTGTGTGTGTCTGAGAAAGAGATTTAGACAGAGAAGAGAGAGCTTGCTAGCTCACTTGGGATCCATCAGTAGAAGAAATCAGTATAAGGAGAGAGGAGCATTTAGAGACTGGATCTCCATTTTTCAATCCCTGTGAAATGGAACAAACAGATCAAACATCTTTCTCTTTGAACACCATCTGCCCAACGTGAAGCAGCAGATAAATGGGCATTTGGGTTGCATATCCTGAGAAGTCTTCATGAAAAAGTATAGCTCATAGTTTAATGGCTATAGACCCAGATGTCCTGGGTTCTGTGACCTTGGGTTTGTTACTTAACTCTTGTAATTACTACAAGGATTAAAGGAATTAATGTTATAAAACACTTAAAAGAATACAGGGCACATATACAAGTCTTTGAGTAAAAATATTTCACTTGTGAAATTACACACAAACTTTTTTCAGCCAATAGCCTAATATGATTGAACTCTTTTTTTTAAAAGTTGGTATGGTCAACCTAGCCACAAAAAGGGCAGAACATTCTCTTTCATGTTTTAGAAGGTACATGATTTCTCAAGTCCACATCCAGGGTCTGGTTGTTAGCCAGAGGAATTGGAAAAATCATTAGATTATTTCTGCCCTCTCTCCTGTCCCCAAATTCTGCTAGTCAATTAAAAGTTGGATCTTGGCAACAGTAAATATTTTAATATGTTATGGGCCAGAGCTAGCTGAAAAGAGCCAAGACACTGTGTCTGTGATTCAGACCTGCTCCTATCCTCCTTATTTCAGCAGCTAACTCAGTGAAGCCCTGGAATGAAAACTAGTGCTGGAAATCAAGAAGCGCCTCTTGTAGACTATTTAATAGCAGTGCCAGCACCCGGGCTTAAGATGCTGGAGAGCTCTGTAGCTCTGTATATATATTCTCTTAGGTTTGGCCTTGAACATTAAATCAAGACCTATAGCCGGGGCCTATTTTAGCTATGACTTACTTGCCAAATGGCAAAAAACTTATTTCACTTGCCCTAGTACACTCTATGCTTTGCTTAAGAGTCTGGATCTATGCATTGGAACCAAATCATTTTCTGAATATAAAAAAAAAAAAGTTTGGATCTAGGCCTGGCGCGGTGGGTCATGCCTGTAATCCCAGCACTTTGGGAGGCCAAGGCGGATGGATCACGATGGCAGGAGTTCAAGACCTTCCTGGCTAACACAGTGAAACCCCGTCTCTACTAAAAATACAAAAAATTAACTGGGTGTGGTGGCGGGCACCTGTAATCCCAACTACTCAGGAGGCTGAGGCAGGAGAATCACTTGAACCCAGAGGCAGAGGTTGCAGTGAGACAAGATCATGCCACTGTCCTACAGCCTGGATGACAGAGCAAGACTCTGTCTCAAAAAAAAAAAAAAAAAGGCTCTGGATCTAGTGACATCTTAATTTAGCCATCTTACTGCTTGACACCCACTTTCAGAAATTCATATTCAGAGAGGACCTGTGGGGAATTTGGCCCTGTGCCAGATTCATTGGGATTTAACATTTTAGAACTTATCTGCAGAGGGGGAAATATAATTAAATAATAAACAAAGGAGATAAAGATTTCGCAAGCCTAATGGCAAAAGTAAAAAGAAGCTTATTTCTCCTTTCCAGAAACTTTTTGGAACCCCCCCAATTTGATACTGCAGCCTCTCCAGGGAAGCTGGCTTCCCGGAGTGAGAAAGCCCTGCTTTGAAATAAACTCCATCCAGCAATCTTTTTAACTAGTGTTTCCCCAGTAAAAATCCCAGTGTATGTGCACGTAATATATAACAAAGGAGGGTGTGTATATATCTGTGTGTGCATGTGCACACATGCATGTACACACCCTAATTTTTCTCAGATGAAATGCCTGTGGCAAATTACCCACCGATCCCTCTCAGTCTCAGAGAGGGTAACATGTACCCACACAAACAAAGGTCTTCAGAGTTGCTGATGATGGGTCACAGATTCATTCCTGGATCTTAGGCAACTGTCATTAAACAAGGAAGCAAGGCAAATGACCTTGAGAATGTGTGAGGTGCTCTACAAGATATAGGGCCTTGCCTACAAAAACTTCACCCAAACGGTCACCAGTGATGAAATTTTCATTGCACAAATGGAATGTGACAATTTTCAGAGTTAATGATGATTGAACAAGTTGAAAGTGAAAGGCAAACCTTCCCAAGCTGGGGGAGGCTGGCCGTTTGATCATCCCGTGGCGAAATGAACTTGCTGTTTGACCACAAGCAATAAAAAGAAGTTGTCTTTGGTTTCTCAGCTGGAGGACAAATGAGAACCAGGTGCAGGCAGAGTTTTAAACAAATGACATTACTAATTGACTTTTCCCTTCTTAGCAAAGGGCAGTTTAATCCTAGTGAGCATCTCTTCTCAATACTTTCACCTCAAGATCAACATGCATCTTTTTTAAAGCAAATCAGCAAAACCTGCCTATTTGGGTTAAGGATTAGGAGTAGTGTTACTTTATTTCTCAATTTCACTCTTTTAATTGCTTTAATCATTACTTTGTTTACCAGTTGGATCTGCCTTCTCATTTAAGCAAGGAAATTCCATAACATTTAATTTCAAAATCGATGTGACAATAACAGCTCTTGTTGCTCGAGGAAGCAGTTTAAAGTCATTTATAAATTTTGTCAGCATCTAAACACTAGCATTGGTTGAAATTACTTTTAACACCTCAGCCTTCCACTTCTCAATAAACCCCTCAGCATAACCGTTCATCCCCCTTCATGTCACTAAGACAGTTCTTCACTTCCTTTTCTTATCTCTGCAGCCTGAAGTTGGATGTTCATTTTTAACTGGATAGGAACCCAGGGCTGTTGTATACACCCTGGCTGCTATGTGAAGTCCTTTTTTCTGCCCACAAGGGTGAGTTTCTACTCATAATGGAAAATCAATGGGCCTATATTCATTAGAACCTCAAAACTGGGCATGCCATCCTCACTTAGCCACTGGCCATCTGTGTGGCTTGGTTCAACTTCTCTGAGCTTCCCTATGGGAGAGGGTTAGCAAAGAGCACTCCATGGCATCTTTTGGTCTCTATAAGGCTAAAAGTTCTTGTTCAAAAATGTGTATTCTACACTTAAAATGGATATATTGTATGACGTACTATTAGACCTCAGTGAGTTGGTTGTCTGTGTCTACTTTCCTCTCTACCTACTTTACCTACCTTGCCTACCTACCTACGTGGTCAGTCTAAATCTTTTAGTCTCTTTTACCGTAAATATTGGTGAATCCTTTTATGGTTAGTAGATATCTATTTACCACATTCTACTGGATCACTGTTCATATTTTCTTGGTTTAAGGTAAACCAGTATAACAAGAACTGGTTTCAGCCTAAGAGCACTCCATTGCAATCATCTATTTTAGTCAGCTGTGGATGAATCTCTGATAAACTCCAACTAATGCAAATCTTATAAGGTCTGTGTCCAATCACACAAAGCTTGAAAGAAAAGCATTCAAAATGTAGATAGCAAAAGGCAAAAGATAGCAAAAAAAAAGAGCAGATGTAACACACAGAAAAATACCGTGACTTATTCCCCTAAAATATGTGCCTTGACTCCAGCCTTTTGCCATTATTGCAGTTCTGATTGACCAGTTTGCCAAAGAAGCCCATCTTACAAAGAGCAAATAGCATGCTTGTAATGTCAGTTTCTAGTGATGGAATATTTGCCACTAGGCTTTCCTAAGACATCTATTCATAACATCTGCTCTAGCCTGGAAAATTCATGAAGTTATAGATCAGCTCAACAATGTTGTGATTTAAATGAAACAGCCAGGAAATAGTGGACATCTGGAGGAAAAGGCCTTCTAGGATCTGATTTTCCTCTGATCAGGGAGACACAGTGATTTTTCACAGGGGAAGTGATTAAGTTTCCGTATTCCTATTTCCTTTACACAGAACCAGCTGATTGATACGAATTGTGTGAACAATTTAAAAGTTGTTCCCTGTGAGTCAGAAGTTTAGCTAAATTGAAACTGAGTGTGTTTTCACACATATCAGTTACTCAGAACAATAGGGTATAAAGCTAGGGGGATGAGGATTAAGGATTTTTATTCAAACTTTTTTATTTATTAATCTTATTTATAAAGTCACTGGAGGACAATGGTTTTTTTTTTTTTTTTTTTTAATTTTTTATTTGATTATAGGTTTTGGGGTACATGAGCAGAGCATGCGAGACAGTTGCGTAGGTACACACATGGCAGTGTGCTTTGCTTTTCTTCTCCCCTTCACCCACATTTGGCATTTCTCCCAGGCTATCCCTCCCCACCTCCCCCTCCCACTGGCCCTCACCTTTTCCCCCCAATAGACCCCAGTGTTTAGTACTCCCCTTTCTGTGTCCATGTGTTCTCATTTTTCATCACCCACCTATGAGTGAGAATATGCGGTGTTTCATTTTCTGTTCTTGTGTCAGTTTGCTGAGGATGATGTTCTCCAGATTCATCCATGTCCCTACAAACGACACGAACTCATCATTTCTGATTGCTGCATAATATTCCATGGTGTATATGTGCCACATTTTTCCAATCCAGTCTATTATCAATGGGCATTTGGGTTGATTCCAGGTCTTTGCTATTGTAAACAGTGCTGCAACGAACATTCGTGTACATGTGTCCTTATAGTAGAACGATTTATAGTTTTTTGGATATATACCCAGTAATGGGATTGCTGGGGGACAATGGTTTTAAAGTGTGCCCAGGATTCAGTATACTCTCTAGTTATAGCGCAGGGAGCAAAGCTGAACTGCTGCAAAGAAACCACTTTGTACCTTGGCACTTGCTATTTAATAGATTCACTTAGCTCCTAATATATACATATAGAGAGATTACATATATACACACATG